AAACTTCTGCTGAAGGCTTTTCCACACTCAACGCATCCATAAGGCTTCTCCCCACTGTGGATTCTCTGATGAAGAATAAGGGCTGAGCCCTGGCTGAAGTGCTTTCCACATTCGTCACATATGTGCTGTTTCTTTCGAGAAGGATTTCTCTTTCTTTCAAATCTGCCCTTGGGTAAACAGGTTTCTCCATATTTAAAAATTTGAGGAACACCTATATTAAGAGTACCAGGAACTTCATGAGATTCTACAGCTGAAGCAATCTCCTGCTTGGGAGCCAGTGCTCCATTCTCTGTCCTAGCATCATCATCTGAAATACAGAGAAAATGTAAATATCACTCAGTTCCTATTTGTAGAGGAAAGAACTTGCCTAAAACTTGCTATGTAGACTAGGTTGGCCTTGAATTCACAGAGATCTGCCTACCTCTGCCTCCCAAATGCTGGGATTAAAAGTGTGCACCACCACACCTGACAAAAAAAGGTTTTCATGAACTAAATACAAAATAAAACAAACAAAACCAAAACTGTATATATCTATGAATATATAAATTTGACACTTCTCAAAAAGAAAAAAAGGGGGCGGGGAGATATGAGATCAATGAGCTAATGACATGACAGCAAAATGACACAGAAGGTTTTTACTTAATTTTTTTCTTGGTTTTCAAGACAGGGTTTCTCTGTGTATCCCTGGCTGTCCTGAAACTGATTCTGTAGACCAAGATGACCTCAAACTCAGAGATCCACATACCTCTGTCTCCCAAATCTCCCGAATGCTGGGATTAAAGGTGTGTGCCACCACCCAGCCATGAAGAGCACATGATCCTTCAGAGGACCCAAACTTAGTTCCCAGCACCCCCACTGGGAGGCTCACAAACATCAAAACTCCAGGTCTGGAGGGGGGGGGGTCCGACTTCCTTTTCTGACCTCTTTGGGCAATTGAACAAGTAGCATACATATACACCACATATACATACATACATGCAATAAAAAAAAATTTTAAAAATCCAATATACTATTTTTATTAAAATTGACTATTTCTTAAAATAGTCAAAAGGGTGACAAATAGATTATAAAATAAAGGGGAAAAAACCAAACTGATACAGGCTAGGTCTGAAACTTTGGGAAGAAAAATAATGGCCATTAAGAAACGGTTTTTAAGAAATATCAAAATGAATGTATAAAAAAAATCTGTCAAACAATAGTTATTGCTGAAATAAGTCATCGTGTCACAGCCAATACTAGAATCAAAACAGAAACCATGAGTCCTGATTAAGAAACAAGCCAAGGACTGGGTGTGGTGGCAGACTCCATTAACTCCAGCACTTAAAGGAGCCAGAGGAAGGCAAATGTCTGGGACTTCAAGGCCAGTTTCAGACTAGTCAGGCCCACAGAATGAGACCAAGTCTCAAAACAACAGAATAAACAAACAAAAGTCATGACACTTAAAAGTTCAATATACAATAAATTAAAAGATCCGTGTTAAAGAAACATCTTCTGACTTCCAAGGACACCCAGCATGTACATGCTACACAGTCACACATGAAGGCAAAATACCCATACACATAAACTAAAAAAATTAAAAGGGGGGGGAGGTTTCTTAATTAAAAAAAAAAAGACTAGGTAAAATATTGAAGTAAAAAAACAGAAATAGCTGGAATTTTAGGAAGACTTTAGTAACAAAACAAATAAAAAGGGGGAGACTTCAAATAAGTTTACCATATTAATATGGTTAGGCACGGAACTAAAATCAAAACAGCATAAAACAGATAACAGATAAGCAGTACCATGTACAAAACAGACATGGTCTTACAGGCACTGGCTCAAAATAAGGCAAATGTGAGCCACAATATGGGTAGTCTTCATGAAAGAAGGCTGAAAGAAAACCTAAAGATGTTAATGTCTAGGAGTAAAACCACCTGAGGCCAGTGAGTCTATCATCAGTAAAGTCAAGCTCTTCACAGTACAGCTATTTCTAAAGAGCAGCTTAAAAGTGTTTTGCCAATAGAACAAGCAAAGCACTTTGGACAAAAGCCACATGGTGTTCTGGTCCTCACCACAGTGCCTCAGAGAGTGGAGTTCCCAGGATGCCCACTTGAGCTGATTCTCTACAGCATCAAGCTCAGAACTTGGTAATCCCTGAGCATCTTCTTGAGATATCTCCTCTACAAGCACTTCCCGTTTTCGGCGACGGAGAGAAACCTGAAAACAAGATTTTAGTTTGGTTGAGAAGGAATTTTGATACTAAGCACACATAAAAGAAGCCACAAAAAATATACTACAAAGTCCTAGATAGCAAAGCAGTGTTGTGGAATATTTGTTTAATGTGTTGCATCGTGTTGCAGAATATTTGTTTAACTATGTAAAGATGTGTTGCTGTTTTACCTTGCCTGACTATGTATGGCACCTGATTAGTCTAATAAAGAGCTGAATGGCCAAGAGCGAGGAAGGAGGTCCAGGTGGAACTTCTGGGCAGGGAGAGTAAGTAGGAGGAGGGATTTAGGCTCAGAGAAGAAAGAAAAGAAGGCAACAGGGAAACACCAGGGGCCAGCCAGCCAGCCATGGAGGAAGCAGGCAAGTAGGACATATAGAATGAAAGAAAGGTAAAAAGCTCCGAGGCAAAATGTAGATGAATAGAAACATGTTAAGTTAAAAGAGCTAGTGGGACGAGCCTAAGCCAAGGCCGAGCATTCATAATAAGTCTCTGTGTCTTCATTTGGGAGTTGGTTGGTGGCCCAAAGACAATTCCAACTGCAGAGCAGCACAGATATTGCAGATTGACAAGGAAGGAGGCATAGACATAATTTTAACTTAGTCAAGTGAAGTTAATCCAGCAGTTTGCCCAACTGCTATGTTAGTGTTTCTGATTTGGGCAAAATGAGGCAAGCATGCTCACCGGCTGTCCAGGATCATCCAGTTCACTCTCCAAGTCCTCTAGAACGGTCACTGCCTCCTCTCCATTCTCTGGGTGATGTTCTCGAACCCAAGTCTGTAGCTCCTTGGGTAAGATGGCAACAAACTGCTCCAACACTACCAGCTCCAGTATCTGTTCCTTCGTGTGTGTCTCTGGTCTGAGCCACAAGCGGCAAAGTTCACGGAGCTGGCTCACAGCCTCTCGGGGACCTGGTGAATCCTGGTATCCAACCGCTGTCGGAAAACTTCTGGGTCAGGGAGATGATTCCAGGAAATGCTTGACCCCTCTTCACCATCAGGATCCTCCTCTAGTTTCACTCTCAGAATTTTTTCTTCTTCATCTGGATTTGGGATGATAAGTACTGAATCTTCTTCCACCGATTGTGCAGACATCCTGTCACAATACTTCAAGAAAGGCAGTCAAGGCAGGATATAGACCTCACCCAGAGAAATACTTTGTTTTCCTCAAAGGTACTCCTAAGGAATAAGAAATGAAAGACACATAAATTACCAAATACCCCAAGATATTTGAAAACAACCGAAAAAACTAGTTTTTTTTTTTTTTTTTTTTTTT